ACCATCGGCCAATGGGCTTTCTTCGTTTTCGACAGAAAAAGTCAAATAATAAAATGTCGGCATATTTTCGCACGCGGAGGAAGGCTCACATAATGGGTTTTTTGACTTGCTCGCAAAACTTTTTAAGCAGCAAAGATAACTCGAATTTTGTTTAGCCGCGAAGGAACCTCTGAAGTATAGGCTACTCAATGATGTCAGTCAGATATGTCTGTCCATCCATATATGGAAGCATTAATAAGTCAAACTGGACGGTTTTCAAAAAAACTTGCAGAATTCGGAAAGTTTTCTTTTCCCTCTCACTTGCCTTCTTGATATGCCATAAAGTGCTTGCGATAGCCATAAACTCGTTTAATTCAATAAAATTCAGTTTGTTCAAAACTGTTGATTTCGAAAAAAGTTATAAGGTTTCAAATGAAAAAATCGAAAATCGGACAGAACTTTTGGAACAGCCTAATATACCTGCCAAATAGAGCTCAAGAAGATTAACTCATGATATTTACTCAAGAAGCCAGGCCCTTGCAAGTTACCAATAAGCATCTTCCATTTTGTCTCGAAGACGTTATCACTTTTGTAAGATACAGGTAAATTGTGAATACAAGATAGCAGAGTTTAGCGTGTACCTTAGTAGACCAGATGTTTATGAATTAATCGATTACGTTCTAACAGGATCTTGACGAAAAATCTTGAATGAAATAAATATAAACGCTTACATAAGGTTCCCGTTGGAGCCTTTATTCGTCTTTACAATAAGCGGCTTTTCCGCGTTTTCTGATTTCATTTATCGATACTTCTTGAGATCGCTCTACTTTTCTAACAAGTTGATAGTGAATGATTGTATCTTTGAAATGCTACTAGTTTGCTCATCTGCTGCAACTTCCTAACAGTATATGTTTGCCAAATACACGCTCATTAGTTATCGTGGTAACTTCTTCACATTCGAATTCAAAGTTGTGTTTTTCGAAGGTTCATCACTTCTTGTACGATCACTTTTCGCCAAATGCTGTGTTCGAAGCTGAAAATCATTTGATAATTATGTTCTGCATCCCAAAATTTTTCTGTTTCCTGACGATCCACTGTGTGCTCCGTAGCTTGTCCTGGTTCCTTTTCTTTTTATCTACAGTAAGTGAGGGTGTGAGTCATCTTAAGCCGCTGATGATGTATTAGCTCTGCAAATCAAAGTTGGCTAACAAAATGTTTTCTTCTATATATTGATGTTATATTTGATTTATAGCACGCGATTGATCATAGACCATCTGCCTTTGATGCTTCCGACTTTATTTTATCTTTGCTTAAGTATATTTATTGCTAACATCTGACAAATGAGTGATTTTCAAGCAGTTCGAATTTTCACATATTTTTTTTATTCTTTATGCTTCATCTTATGTCTCAATGAAACGACCCATCTTTGTAAATAACAAATGGACGTCTAATACACTTAGCCTGTGTACATATATCAGCCCAATAGAAAAAGCCGTTTTTTTTTTGGAAAGAGCTTAGCAAAAAAAGATGGATTTGCACAATCTGCATGTTACCATATCGACTAAATTTTTTTCTATAGGGTATCAGCTTATTTCATAGTGAGAATCACCAAGCCATGACTTTCAAATAAAATTACGAGACAGAAGTGGCTAGAAACATCTTTTTTTCTCTTAATACTAGTCTGCCATAGTGCTCTTTTATCTACTAACTACACAATAGTATCTTTATTTTGGGAAGGGTCTCTTGGAGTTGCGCTCAGAACTTGGATTAAGGCCAAGCTCCTGAAGACCATGCCTAAGTAGATAATTGTTGTCTCAACATGTATCCTTGGATTCACAATAACTTCGAAAATTCGGATCTGAAGGCTATTTTTCTTCCCATTACCCATCATTTTTGCAGTCAAAAGTTTATTATTTTTGTTGCTCTTGATTTATTTGTTATTTTTGTAAATAAGTGCAAAATATTAGCAATCCGATTACGTTACTGTTTATACATTCGTGTTCTCATGTTTTCAACAAGTTTTCTACAGTGGAGGTCATTTTTCACCTTTTAATTCTGCGAGATCGTGTCACTGCCTTGACAAATCAACTAGCTAGCTGGGATATTCAAAGCAATAAAGTTCTCATTTGCAATAATGTAAATTCCCCTCAATAATTATCTCAGATCATAGTATATGCTCATTTGATGAGTCGTGGAACCATAACGATAAGTTTTGGAATTTTGAGCAGTTTGCAAAGAAGAGTAGCCAGAAAGGTGAGTGCATGCACCACGACATTTGGGGTGCGCACTAATCATCTATAAGATTTGACCTGATGATAGGACGGAAAGAATCGGAACTGATCAGTGTTAGATTGCTTTCTTTGTGCTTAATAAATTTTTTACGAAGAAAGCATCAAAGACGCATAATTAGTTATGTATGGTATTGCTAGAAGTTGCTGTTATCATCTCAAATCGCAAATCTTGGAGAGTGTACAAGCTACTTTAGTATATGAATCGAAATTATTACCTCTGGCTCCAGTCCGTCTTACTTTATTTAAGAAAATTAGCACGCATGACTGCGCTCCGCTATGCTCTGCGAGAAACCATTCTGTTCGATTTTACACTTTATGTACCTTGACTCGTCCTTGCCTTTGTCTTTTGTTAGCTCTATGCTTTTTGAATTACTAGTGGTTGTGAAAACACATCTAGTGAGAACTTGCTGATAGTAGCAACTTGTCTTGTAGAAAGCACTACATAACAAGGTAGTTTTTCAAGAAGAAAGCTATGTTTGTGAAAAATAATATATATTTCCCACTATGGGTGGCTCAGTGGTTTCAAAAATTGGTCTCATAAGCGATTAAGTTCATGAATTTACTATTCCGTTGATTCTGATTAGATTCCGGCGTATGTAGCAGGGCCCGGCATTGGGACGGCAGGACAAGTGAAGCGAATTCATTGCCATCCGATTCCCACGATTTCTCCTTGATGGCGGCAGCTGCGATTTTTCACAAAATTCTGCGCTACGTTCCTTCTAGCTCTTGTCCGTTGTCCGTTTATGCCGAATCCGGAGTCATATCGTGATGTGTGCGCTGTAACAAGGCGTTAATCATTACTCAAAGGCAGTGTCTCACCGAAGTTGAGGTCGCGCGGATTTTCACATATTCTATTATAGGGACCTCTAAATAGGCCATTGCAACAAGTCCCACTCAATTTGACCCCCTCCACGCTGAGAAAAATTCGCTCAAAGTGGTACGCGGAGAGCGAGTTGGTACGCGCGGACGACTCCTTCGGTCTCCCCCCTTACGCGTTTGAACATGTCCCTCCACTTGGCATCCACCTCCCCTCTGTTGCTGCCACTGTGGCTGAGGCTGAAGTTGGAAGGTACAACTCGTCCATGTTCCTTCCACGGGGCCTCCGCAAAACGGGGTTTTTGGGAACTTCGTGCGATTTTAGGCCCATAGAGTGCTAGACAGGGTCCGACAGGCATGCAAAATGCAAAAATCTCGACAACTAAATTTTGGTGAGACACTGCCTTCAAGAAAAGAAAGTTGGATTCCCGAAGATGACGCGCGGGTAAGATCGTGTTTGTGCACGTCAGGCGTGTAGCAACTTGTCGAGAGAGTGGGTATATACGCATGAATGTGTATTTACGATATCTTTTTTCCTCTTTTCCACTACAGCGACTTCCATCTTGACATTTGCCACCTTCGTGCCGAGCCCTGGTAAGTAAAAGAATCCTGTACATTCTCATAGTCAGCCTTTTTTTCGCACTATTTTTCTTTTACTGTGATGGGCATGAGCTTGATTATTAGCCATTTCAAAATGCTTTCTTTATAAAGGCATTTTTGCTCAACATAGTGGCTTGATATATGTGAGTCTAGCATTATTGACGATGATGAGATTTGAAGTTGTATCTAGTGGGCCTAAGCAATCGCTCAAGCGTTTTCTCGCTGCAAAAGACGAATTGCAAAGCAAAAAAACCGCTCCAGAAAGTATGAGTGCCCACGCTGGCTCCGCCCATCGAGTTGGCTGTCTGAAGACACTATCCATTACAATTCCGGAAGAGCTTCAGCGTAGATAGAAACGTCGCAAATTTGATGATTGTAATGGAAGGCGGATATACGACAATTCTTGCACTCCATGTTTGACCTTGTTGTCTTCAATACTCCACGTTGGTGGGTAGAGCCAGCGTGGGCCGCCCTTCTAGAGCGGTTTTCTCGATATGAAATTCCTCGTTTGTAGCGAGACTTGGGCAAATGCCTAGTAAGGAGTACCGCTATTAAATGGCGCTAGAATCTCTTCACCCTTACATTGGGTGGATGGTGCCTTTAAATCTGGCTCCAAGACCTACCCTTTGCTGTGGATTCCCTCTAATCAACTACTCTTTCTCCGGAAGGTCTTTGAAAAATTTAGGTTTTATGGTCTTTAGGGGGGGGGGGGGGGTCAACGGTAACTCTTAAAATTACTATTGTAATGCAGAAGGACACTATGTAGTGCGCAGAAGGATGATCTGGTCAGTTATCCCAGCGTGCAAGGTTAAGAAGTTGCATCGCAAAGTCGGCACGCGCTCTATACGACAAATACTCAGCGTGTCACAATTAACTACTTATGAATCGTCCTAATTGAGTGGGTGACCTTCAGAGTGTTACGAAGACGTAAACGCTCCGGTATTACTCCTCTGTCCTGGTATTTGTCCACTCGCCGTGTTTCAAGTGTAAAACATGAATCAATACTCCCATTTTGATGTTATCATGCCGGTTTTAGTTCTCATGTGCCTGATTTTGAATCAATACATTGCCAAAATTAAAGTTATTTACCTCTGTCTTCGGTGTAGTCATCTTTATAAATGCAGAATCTCTCAGCTAATTTTTTGTACGGCAAAGAACCACATTTCATAACAATTTCTCAAGTTTCGAAGTTATCCTCACATTCAGTTCAATTTTTGACGAAAGCTGCTTTCTTTGTAACACTTGAATGATTAACGAATGTACCCTGCTGCAGGAAAATTCAGTAATCTGCTTGGCTTCCTCTCCTTTATCAGAATGGAAAAGTATCGGGAAGGTACGTATTTTTCATCGATCGAGAATTCTTGACTTCGATAGCATGACTATTTTCTCTTATTTGTAATTTTCTTTTTGACGCATAAAAACCAAAATGTAATTTGGCTCTGCGTTCTATGTTGTGGCTCATAAAACCTTCAAATTTAGTGCATCTTCAATCCAAAGATTTGTATGATACTATCAAAAACTTTATGAACATTTAACATGAGCAGTTATATGTATTTGACAATTTCACACACATTTTTTTGCTTTCTTGAAGTTGTACAGTTTTAGTGGTTTCACCTGTCTGGTCCAATTCATGGAAAAACCATTTTGAAAATCTGGGTCATTGCATCCATGTCAGTCACCTTTTATTGCTCAATGAACGCATTTTTCTCTGCAGCGTGCCGCAGTAATTAATCAGCCTAGTGACCGCGTATTGGGTTAGTCAGTATTTCTGCCAAACAATGTGGGTACCCGAAATTATTGTCGAACATTCAAAAGCACACAACTCTGTAAAGACTTCTTTAAGTAAACATTTTGGCAATGATGCCTTCCTACAGTATCCATGTGTGATATTGGTTCAGAAGGTGTTTTTTTCTTATATGCTCTTGTAGAGGCATTTAGTCCTACAAAAGTGCAATATCGATACCTATGTGATAGTTGGCTTAGCCACTTTTTCTATGTTCGCCCAAAAAGGATAGAAGGAGTTATGGAATCTGAGCCAAACTTGGCAGACGTAATGTATGGGGTGGGCGTTTGTTAATAAGCCATCTTGTTCGGGACCCACCATTCGGCTCTATCGATTTATTGACTTTTTGTAGTTTTTGCGTGGAAAATTTTGTATGTTCGCCCAAAAAGGATAGAAGGAGCCATGAAATCGGAACCAAATTTGGCAGACATATTATAACCCATTTTGATCAGAACCCACCGTTCCACTCTATCGATTTATCAATTTCTTGCTCCGTATGGTTTTTTTCTAATAAAACAATAAGTTATTCCCCAAAATTTTCCTTGGTAAACTAGTGCTGTTTGTACAATAAATCATTGTAGTCACTTTTTCCTTACAAAAAAGAATAAGGCAGCAGCACAAATCAAGTCTCCATCTATTTGATCGCATGCTTTTCTCTGAGTATAGATAAATTCTTCTGTGCAGAAATTAGCAATGTACGATCACTTGTATGATTTTCATGGATAATATAATAGAAATCATTATATGGATTAGCATATATCTGCGCACTTACATCTGGATGAAAACTGAGTGGGAACAAATGCGCAATGGTGGAATGAGGCGTGCTGAGAAATGCTATTTATCGAGCTGTCATGAGCGGATTAACTTTTATGTCTATATAAACTATGCACCGCCATTGTCGTAGCAAAACTTTCTTCACACTGCAGCTTTTTCCTTCGATTTCTCGGCTCATGGCCAGGACTGGTGCGGCAGAAGTGCTTGGTTTCTGAAAAGCAGATCCAAGTTGACGGTGCACAATTCTACGTCCTCCTCTTTTGAGTGCCATTCACACTGTAATGTTTGATTAGAGCGCGCTTTCCTAGCGCAATTTTGACTTTTTCCGCCAGTAAGAACTCCGATAAAGTGGAGCAGCTTCGAAACGCTTATCTGCTATCGGATCCACCTGTCTGAAAGACATAGCAAAAAATTTTGTGAAGTTATGAATTTCATTTTATTGAGGAGTGTCCAACAACAAAATCTACAATTCTCAATGGTTGTTCCCGTATTTTCTTATCTTCTTGCGCTAGAACAGAATGCTCTATCCCTGCTCTGCGTTTCTAACCTGCGCCATAGCTAACATGTTGGCCACATGCAACAACATGTGAGCAGCATACAACGACATATTAGCAACGAAGTATCGCTTGTTAGCTTTAAAACCAACATGTTGTAACAGGTGATAGTTTGCTGCCAACATGTTGTTGCATGTTGCTCACATTTGTTGCACGTTGCCAACATGTTCAAGCAGGTCAGAGATGCACAGCACGAGGAGCAGCATTCATGGCGGACGATAATTCACTATCATCATTTTTAGAAGAATGCATCTCAAACTTTCTGTGCTTTGCGCACACGTTTGAACAAACTTGAGCTTGTGCTTAAAAATTAACAAATTTACGACTGTGATTCATCTCTCCCGAATAGTTCATACCCGATATGCTTGTTTAGGCTGTTATCGAGGGTTATCGAGTCCCCTTATCTCAGAATAGCTAGTAAGTTGCGTACCCTTTTGAATCAACGAGATTGGCGGCTGGAAGGCGGGACTTTGCGTCTCAATTAAGGCTAAGGGATGATCAGAGAGCACGCTCGCTTGAGAAACGCAGTCTGCGTCGCGGGCGCATGCATTCGCCTTGCCGCCAATTCCTTGAATCAAAGGGTATGGCTTCACTCAAAATATTTGCTATGCAATATAAGGCATGTGTTCAAGACGTCTGTATTGCGGTCTATACTGCTTTTGTTCTTTCACATATAGTACGCTAGCCAAGTTTTCTTTCACATATAGTACGCCCTTCCCAAAAAAAGATATTCTAGATCTAAAAAAAAAGTTCAAATAACTTTCACAGTTTTTATGTTTTACGGACTTTCCTAAATTCTGATTGTGCTTATTCTGTACCATCCTATAGGTGCAGATTAGAACGCTTGAATCTTTGCAGCTTGTTATATCTCAAGATGGTTGTTGATTTAATCATTGGCTTTCAAACAATCTTTGAAACTAACTTAGGACACAGCGAGTTCTGAATTCCACTCTTTCTTTCTACGTACTGCACGTAGGCTGCAGAAACTATCTGATTCGGTACACTCTGCACCTACTGCCAACGTGTTCACAAAGAGGCTTCTGAAATATTAATCCGATTGTGCGTGGCGTCTTTGAGACCTACCCTAAACCGTTCAAAATAAAGATAGACAAATGTTCGAAACAACCCTTCGATAAACAATTTCTTCCTCTTTCTAGGAGTGGTGTTCATGTTCTGCTTCCTTTGATGATCACTCAATAATTTTTAGGATATTTATCCATGATTTACCCACCCTTTAGCTATTTTCTAAAACTTACATCTCTTATTTTGGAAAAGCTTTAATCACTGTTGGATAGAGTAGACAAATGCAGTACAACAACTTTTTTTGGTTTTTCAACTGGCTTGCAAGTATTTTCGAAACTGTTTTCCAAAGTTTTCTTTTTTTGCGAAGTCTTGAAAAACACAATTGTTTTGGAAACAAGAAACCTTCGGAATTTGAAATTTCCTAAAGTCGTTTATAAGTAAACACTAATTTGAAGCAAGTGTTCACCACTTTGGAAGAATCTCGAATTTTCCGGTCACAGCTTGAGGTGCGTTTGAAAACTAGTATTACTATGATTTCCTCGAAACCCTAACGAATCAGGGATTAGAAACATCAATAACACTTGCCAGAAAGGAGAGAGCAATCAGACTGCATCGAATGATACCCTTGTTGTTTGCTATTCAATCTTTTTTGAGGCTTGGGGTGACCAAATATAGAATTTAGTAGCATAAAACAAGTCTGAAAATTTTGAAAATCCAGTTAGGAATGCCAAGAAAAGCGTTGTCTTGCATTTTGTTTACCCTATACAACAGTGAAACTCTTTCGAAGTTGAAAATGGAGATTTATCAAGGTAGCTAAAGTGAGGATAGGTAAACATCATGGGTTGGACGATTATTCGAGCGATCATCAAAGGAACATGAAGACCGCCTAAAAATAGGAAATTGTGCATCTGAAATGTTTAAAACATTTGTCGATCTTCATTTTGAACGGTTTCGGGTAGGTTCCAAAAATGGCACAAACTTTCGGACCGGATTAATACATTGCATTATCATTAATCGTTGATAGGTAATTATGAAAGTAATTACTTTTAAACGGATTTCTCCTGCTGATTTCTCCTTTCTGCCCAGGGCCGGCGGGGGTGGCGCTTTCACAAGCTGGATATCGTTTTTGGCCCGAAAAAGCAAAGGGGAAGTCGTATTTTGGGGTCCCGGGCGGAGCCCCGGACCCCAAAATACGACTTCCCCTTTGTTTACCGATAAACAATGCACATATCATTCTTTATTCATCATTCCTTGTTGATGCTACTGTCCTATGAACTTTGATTCCAGCAATGTGAAGATTCTGTGCTCCGGTCGCTAGCCTGCCCGCAGGCGGGAATTCAAACCGCAATTCTTGTAAGAGGAAAATAACAAAATACACCAAATTTGCTGTGTAGTTGGAGGACCATGAGCACAAAAAAAGTATGAAGAATTATGAGAAACTTATGTGAATTTAGAAAATGGTAAGTGTTTTTCGAACTTAGGTGGCTCCAGCGCCACCTGGGAGCCACCTGGGGTGGCTCCCTGCTTCTCTTCACATAATTTCCCGGATTTCTTTACATAAATGTGGACTAGGTCGAGAGTATTACTACATGTTCAAATCCGCTTCCAAAACCACTAAGGCTCCGCTTCGATACAGCCCCAAATAGAGTTCACAGCGTTATGATCGGCCTCGGAAAGCGCGCTCCAATCGCAATCGGTTATTGTAAATTGTAAAGTTTCGCAGCTGACTAATAAATGAGTAGTATCTTAGATATATAAAAGTCAAAGTTTGTGCAAATCTTGACCCTATGTTTTTTTATAGATTCCTTTGCGGATGAACCCATTGAGCTGAAACTTGATGACCCGGGCTGGACCAAGAAAGCCAGGTAGTACTACTGTAAAAGCGCTGAGGCCGCCCATCTTAGTATTTGTCTATATCTGTTTGTCAGGGACTTACGGGGGTCAAAGGGGAAGACGTAAGAAATTTTGGCTTCAAAGGGGATATCGTTTTCAAAATTCTGAAATGCCTCCTGCCGGGCCCTGTTTCTGTCTCCAGTGCTTTTAGATAAACTGTGGGACTATGCTTCCTCTGCTTGAATATTTTTTGAGACAAAACTGACTGCCCATATCTTTAGAAAAAAAAGAGAAGCTGACCACATTTCCTCATACAACAGTGATTGACTTCGATCAAATTTTTGTAATCATCTTACATATGTCCCA